AATTTACCAAGACAAACCTTAAAGTTTTTTATATGAATTTAAATGAAAAAAAAAAGTAAATGACAAATTGAAGAATTCTCCTTAGACTCTCAGTTGAGGTTAAGATTTTATTTTATTGTGATGTAATTGAATAAACTGATATTTAATCTGGAAACCTATTACAGTATGTTTTCTTTATATATTTAATATGTTTTTCCTATATATCTTGTATATGTTTTTCTTATGTTTTCGATCCTCTCACGGCGCGGTCCCGGGATGTATTTTTTCACAACGCAAAATGCTTTACCGTTTCACTAGACGATTACTAAAAGTTTGGTAATTAGCAAATTCTTAAGAGTTTAGTTTCCTCCCTAAGAGGAAGTAGAAACCTTTCACGGCAAGTAGTTTCTTATTTAACAATGGTGCCGTGAAGTAAGCTTCATAACATTATTTACCTACGCGAAGTTTCATATATGACACATGCAGGTCAGTTCTGGAACCCAGAATAATTCCACCCCAAACGAGCACTCCTGCACCACCGTAACGGTGTCGTTCAATGATATTTTCTTGGTGGTAACGGGTAGCTGGAGCTCTCCATATGAAAGTCCGGCTAGAATCAGACTGCAAACTAAACCTGTACTCGTCGGAAAACATCACACAAGCCCACTGTTGCGGTGTCCACAATGCATGTTCTCTACTCCAGGCTAACCGCAGGCGACAGTGAGTTGCAGTAAGTGGAACGCATCTGACAGGTCTACGAGCATATAGACCGATCTGCCCTAAGCGTCTGTAAACGGTCTGCCTTGAAATTGTCGTACCAATGGCTGAAGAGAGCTGACGAGACAGGTCTGAGGCTGTGTTCCGCCTATTTCTTTTGTCAGTAACTGCCAAATACCGGTCCTCATTCGGCGTTGTAACTCTGCGGCGACCTGTGCTGTAACGTCTACTCACATTACCATCATTTTGGAATCGTTGCCAAAGCCTGGAGATGACACTTTGGGCAATCCCAAGTTCGTCTGATACTTCCAGTTGGGTACGCCCACATTCCAGACGGCCGATAATTCTACCACGTAAAAAATCATCCAAATGCGTCCTTTGTGTCATAACTATTCGGTTATTGCATTGAAATGCTTATAAAGCGCCTGCGAACAATTTTACTTCTTTGCCTGTATATCTTATATATCACTCTCTTACACTCTCGTCATTGTGACGTACCATCGGTGTCATCTGGTTACTTCCTGAAATTTGCATATGATTCTTGAAGTTGTGTGTGGTGATTTTACAAGTGATATATTTATTTTAGAGTTCGATTTCCGCGTGAAACACAATTATCCTTAATTTATGGACATGAATGTAAACAACCGAGCTGAGATGCCATTCCAGTCTAGCTTGCGAATATAGGAGACTTTTCGCCGGTTTTTTTCGCCGGGCGCTAAAGGTATGTGCATGCTTGAGCAAGTTTCCTAAACAGGATCGTATTTGAGGAGATGATGTGAGTATCTTGTCACGTGGGAGGTGTGGCACCGTCCTAGTGGCTGTGAGTTTTCAGTTGCAGTAAGATTACAAGTCCTGCTTGAAAATGATCCGGTTTTGATGTTTACTGAGTCATAGAAAATAATCACTTTATAATATTAAGTGGGAAAATCCTTGTTTTCAGTGGTCGAAGGTGACGATCATCTACTAGGACTTCATACTGAAAAAGATGAGAAAAAACCATAAAATCACAGTTCCGTGCGTTCGTGAAGAATTTGTCGTTCGTCTAGAGCAAATAAGTTTCAATCGGTTTTATTTTCAGGTCGTCATGAAGGGCTTTGTTCCTTACGAAGTAGTGTGCGTTAGTTATAATGCGAAGAAATTTACTTTGAACAACTTATAGCTTGTTGGCATCAGATTTTGTAGCGGCTGCCCAGGCAGTTGAGGGGTAAGTCATAATCGGATGGATTGTAGTTAGGTAGATAATCCTTTTCTTCTTGTTTAGATCTAGTTTGGAGTATTTTCCTATGACACGAAGTAAGCACTTCACAACTTCTAGAGCTTGAGATCAAACGTGGTTAATATGATGGTTCCAAACGAGAAGGCTATTAATTATAATTCTAAGGTACTTCGCCTGTTGTACTAGTGGAACTGGTTCGTTAACCCCTTAACTGCCGCGGAAAACGTATAAGATTCATTCCCCAGTGCCACGGTTTTTCACATATCCGCGCGTAGTTATGCGATTTATTAGGGGGAAAATAAGAGCAAGTTTTACTTTCTAAAAATTGTTTAGTTTCACAAAATAAACAGTAAAAAAAAAAAAAATGCATGCACAAAATTTAATATTTTGAGTAAAAATATAATAAAAAGATGTAAGTATAATAAAAATGATGTTTTTATAATAAAAAAGGTCCCTATAATGGGGTTTTCGATCAATTCATTTTAGACCAGTAAAGTGTAATATCATGTTTCAGTGTTATATACCTTGTGAAATCAGTATGCCTATAAAAACATATATTTGTTCTGAATTGGTTGAATGCCACGATATTGTTCTTGATTTTTCGTTTGCAAGGTGTTGTTGGTTCATATACTCGTCTACAAAACGGTTAGTTTCAGTAGTAATATAAAGCACGAGCAGTTCATCAAAAAATAATTCAAGAAAGATAAATGGGTTTGAAACATCCGTTATATCTTTCTTTATTCCTGGAACCTACTACAAAAAGTAAACGAAAACGGAGGACACAGAATAAAAATAAAAAAAAAAAAAAATACGTTTTACTCAAACAACACTAGCCAATACCACGCAGTCATTACTTTCAGCACTTTAGACACGTCCCTCTCTCCAATTTCTCCCCACACTTCTCTGAAATAATATCCTCCTTCACATACTTCGTCAAGGTCATTCTGGTGTTGCATTCCAAAAGTTTGCGAATAGTTTAACGGGTAGCAGCGCAAAGCAACTGATAGTATTTTGTAAGGGCGTATATATACGCCCGGGGCAGTTAACGCATCGGCTGAGCAAGGCGTATATATACGCCCGCGGCAGTTAAGGGGTTAAAAAGGAGCAGGTTACTTTTAAGAGGAGGGTTTCTTTTCCTTCTACGGATCAAAAGGAGCTGTGACTTATTGGCGTTAATTTTAATCTTCCGTTTTCCACACCAGCGTTCGATGTTAGGGATTAATTCTTGAAGATTTTTGATTTAAAAGTTGATATTTGCAGACTTTACTGCTCGAGCTGACTATTTCTATAGATTTAAACCGGTCGCACGAGATACTTCTGCTTCTCGAAATTAAATTATACGTATTTTTTGCTGCATTTCATTTAAACCTATTTCCTCCCATTTCATTAGAGATATATTTCTCATTCAATTAATTCTGTTTTCAATCTGCAACAAGGCAAAAATACATAAAACCTCAAATTATGTGGAAAAAATACTAAATACTGTTAAAACGATAAAAAAACAATTAAAATTACAGTAAACAATTTTAGTCACGCAAAAACAAGCAATTCGGGCAACAAGGCAGATTTTTCAGCGCACAAAAATGAAAGTTTAATTTTGGTCCCACTTCGCCAAAAGACACTGAAATTGCACAAACTGAAATCACTATTCTGCTAAGTTTCAAATGCAAACAAATACGGCTGCTATGGTAAACAAAAATTAAGCTTAGTCACACTTTAACAACTTTTAAATTGTTGATAATTCTACAACTACTGCATGCAGATTAACTAAAGGCATAAAAACCTTAACCCGAATGTAAGAACAACATAATTTAATCATTTTAAAATTAACAATGCGCAATTTACCAGCATATAAGAATAAAAAAAACTGAGCTCACTGAGCTGAGTAGTAGAGTGGATATCCAAAAATATAATAAATAATAAATAATGGCGGTAAAAAAAAATATATATATATACTTTTAGTGCAATGGATCGCAAGCAAAAACGGACGTGCACAACTGCATATTATAGCAGTCTTATACACAAAATTTCAGCATTCTGAGGGTACTGGTTTTTTAGTTATGCGACATAAATACATACGTACACAAGTACGTAAAAACGCCACGGGAAAAAATTCTTCTGAATCAGTTTTAAATCAGTCTTATAATTCGTTTGGCGAAAAAGAATCCTTTATTGTGTCCTCAGGCACAGACGTTAAGCAAAAACATCGTTAAATTGCATTCGATAGCGGTCAAAATGGATATATTCGCTGAAATAGGATACCCGGAATTTTTCGTGATTACAAAATTTCCTTTACTTCGTATAAGGAAGTAAAAAAAAAAAAAAAGTATATTTTTCCACAAATTCCACTTTTAGAACGACAGCGCTAAATATCAAGCGGGCAACTAACAGTAAAACGGAACGGAGGGTTAAAATTTGAATTACCCACACCCACGCACGCAATCAAAAAAGAACCAATAAAATTTACATTCAAGAAAGTGAAAATGGTGACGTCATATAAGGTTAACAAAAGTTACGGTTACGTAACAAAAGTTACGTAAGGTGATGTCAATTACAAGCTAAAATGTCAATGCAAGTTAAAGTTCCCATGGTAACCAGAAAAGGGATTTCATCACCAAAATTTATGGCCATCCGAAGGGACACCAAATTCTACACTAGTGCCAAAAAGCGTAATAAGGTTATTAAGATATTCACATTCCTGTGCAAACTAGTAATTATACATCGCATGATAAAACACGTTAGTTTCAAGTTACACGAAATACCATGCGCCTTAACATGTTAAAGGGAAGTTTCCGTTAGCGAATACACAAAGTAATTCATTTTCCATCTAAGTTTCTATTAATTTCTTAGTTAAATACTCATACATTCACAGCAGCACTTTGTATTTTAATGGCAACAGAATGAGGCGAAATAATTTAAGAAATTTATTTTTTAAATATGGATTGCAGTTCATATATCAAATTTAAAAAATATTTCACGTGATCAAGCATGAGATGAAATATTTTAACACATAAATGGCAACATAAATACATAGCTGTGTTTTTTTTTAAATTTATGAAAACTGAGAATATTTGTTCGACATATTTATTGTCCTCTGAAAAATCTCTGCTAAAAATGGAGAGAAAGTTTATTTTCGTGATTGCCATTACATTACTGAGGGTTATGGAAGACGGTGCATTGTGTGATAACGAACAAATTAAGTTTTTCCTAAAGGATTTCGAAGTAACTCAAGTAAGGGAAATCGAGCCCACTCTTTACAGTTCAAAATTTATGACTTTGCGAGATATGGTAAAAAGTTTTGAAATGCAGATGAAAGGGAAAAATTTAAAGATAGACTTAAGGAACTTTTACCCTTTGCATCATGTGGCTGCAGTTGAATATATCTCAAAATCACGAAATGCTTCTGGAGATTTTTTGAGCAACGAATATAGGCTTTATCAAGGTCAAGTCCGAAATTTAAAAGATTCATTTGTCTTAGGATTTTTTACTAGCGAAAACGCTTTCCGAGGTTATATTATGATGGATGAAATTTATTGTGTTGAGCCTTACAGTTCAGTTAAATCGAAAGGGCAAAAAGGAACGGTTATTGTTTACAAGCTCATGGACGTAATTGCGCCCGGTTGCAAGAAAACTGAAGGAAAACTTCCGATAGATTGTTCAAAAGCAAAATATTACCTCCCTGGGAAGGCCTTGAATCCGCCTCCATTGCCCAAAGAAATGTTATATGCGGATGATTTCTTTGAAGAACGTTTTGATTGGAATGAAAACACGGTAGAGGATGACAGAGATGAAGATCATGCCAACATGAGCTATAAAAGTCAGGAGAAATCCAAAGTGGATGGCGAGGGTCAAAAGGATACCAACAATGACCAGAGATTTCCTAAAACTCATAAAAAAGGGAACGATTATAAGGATAAAAAACACTCGCACAAAGATCATCATGAAAAAGAATTAAATAAAACTGAAGTTGGTAGTCATAGTCATAAGCATGGCAATTACAGCAGAAAGAAGCACAATTAGATTTACGATGAATCCGATTCCGCTGATTATTTAGAGGAGGCTGTATTAGAATCTAAAAAACACTCACACAAAGATCATCATGAAAAAGAATTAAATAAAACTGAAGTTGGTAGTCATAGTCATAAGCATGGCAATTACAGCAGAAAGAAGCACAATAAGAATTACGATGAATCCGATTCCGCTGATTATTTAGAGGAAGCTGTATTAGAATCTAAGAATAGTCTTCCTTCTGGTTTCAATTTGACTGAGATAGCAAGGACACTGGACAATTTGATGAGTTTAGAATATATTATTTCATCCTTTGATGAAACTGACAATGAGATAGATACTGAGAGGCAAAACAGGAACGAAGGTTATGGGGAAAAACTATTTGAGAATTCTTATAATCAAAATGTGAAGATCTCCAAAGAGAAAAAAATCTTAAAAAGGGAAACGAACAAAGAGTAAGTTGAATTTATATAATTCTTCGAGATCATGGTTTCCATTTTCGAAAATTCGGGTTATTAATCTTTGAAGAAATCTTGATCCTACCATTCAAAATTGCTCATTTTTTATTTCCACAGTTTTAAAAATTGTTCAGTTTTTGGTGATGAAACCCACTTCCTGGTTATAATGATAGTTTTAACTTTGTTTTAGCTACCTCGTTCCTTTTAAGTGAATATAGATTGATGTGTACATGGACAAAGTTAAGGCAGTGCGCAATGCCTAGTTTGTGCAATTCTCTGATTTTTTTAAGTGAAAATAGATCAATGTGTACATGGACACCGAGTTTGTGCAATTCTTTGACTTATTTTGTTTTCGTGTAGAGGCCATTTTAAAGTTGTGTCTTCCAGGCGCCGATCTTGGCATCAAAAAAGAATCGCCAAAAAAACAAGAGGTACCCAATTGTAAACTTTTACCGAAATTTAAAACAATTTTGTTAAAAAAAACTGTTCAAAATTCAGTAAAAACCTTTTTGAAAGAGTTAATCATGCTCGTTGGAAGAGGAAAATAAGATCTTCAGTTGTTAAATTTTCATATAACATACATACGTACATTATAAGGTATTGTTCTGTTATCAGGACCGGCTTCAGAAATTTATGTACGTATGTATGGATGGATTTATGTGTTCATGCATGTATGTATATATGTAAACACGAATGTATATGTGTGTATACATATACACATATAAGCACATTCATACATTTCTGAATCCGGTCCCAATAACAGAACAGTACTGATTTAATATAACCTGTGTGTATGTCTTTGCCTCTGGGAGCCTGCGCAAATGAGGCTGATATCATTAAATACTAAAATCTTAAGGATAATATTGGCAACTTACAGTCTCAATGTGCCGGATTGGCGATTGGGATTAAATCCCCTAAAAACGCTTTGCACGAAATTCCTGGCAGCCGATCCAGACCGTCGATAATATGATGGAAATTTTGAAGACAACCAAAAGATATCCGGACTTAGGTGACTCCAAGCTAGGGGTGAATACCAGATTTTGGTTTTGTCTAGTACAGGCTTTGTTCCCCCGAAATACAATACTAACGCAAATGCTTTCAATAGTTAGAAATGTTAATGTTATACATCAAAAATTAAAAGCAATTGAAGCTATTAATAAAAAAGATGACTCTATTCAGCCCATTGAAGCGGCAAAAGTGCTTAAGCTGGAAAACGCTCAAATTTATAGGTGTCTCAAATAAATTCAATGCTTTAAATAAGCAATTTTCTTTACAAATTGAATTTAAACATTTTAAATGTTGAAGACAACGTCCAGACGTAGCAGATAATACAACAGCAATCCTAAACCCCTAGCATCCCAAGCATAATGATTAGCAAGCAAGGGACTGCGCAAATGGAACGGACTACCCAGAGGAACTCTAAACTACGATAGATGCAAAATTTCTTCGCCGCCTCAACGGCGAATTTACTAAAATTCTTCCAAATACAGATGATGATGATGATCGTAAACTTGCCAATACATAACTTGCCAACATCGTAAACTTGTCAAATACAGATGATGATCATCGTAAACTTGCCAATCAATTTAGTTCCTAACAGATTGAATATTATATTATCAACCCAAAATTTAAGCGAACTATTAATTTTATTAAGAGGCCTTCCAATCCATACCGGTTGTAACAAAATTACGTCAGTACTTAGAAACAGAGGCTTTCCTTTGCATTTAAGGCACAACCAATGCCAGCTAGAAAGATCAAATGTTTAAGTTCAATTTTTAAAGACCTTATATTTTGTTCTAACCAATTACCTTATATTTTGTTCTAACCAATTACCTTATATTTTAAGAAATTTTCATTTTCCTTCTGATTTCAATTTCCTGCCAGAATGCAAATTTAAATGACATAGAATATAAATCTAAGTGAGTTCGAAAATAATATTTAAGTAGCCGATTTTAAGAGTTCGCGGTAGGAGAGTTTGTTCTGAATTTCTGCCGCGTGTTTGAAAGTAAATTTGCATTTGAATAATTAGTGCTAGCCACTTGCTTTAAATTTTATTGATTTTCTAGACTCGACTTTGCTGTGTAGGGCCGATTAAGCGGTTTAGGTTGAGTATGAGCCAGTTGTGTAACTATGATTGTATATACTATTTCGTGTCCAAGTTATTTAGCCACAAGTGATGGTTAAATTCTGAGCACCAGCGAGTGCATTTTCTGTTCCGTTTCATTAAAATAAAAATGTTCTTATAACCTTCGTCTGCAGTCATCTGTTCTTCCAGGAAATGGGGCTTGCCGGAGCGGTAACGTCGCTGAACCCTGGTAATTCGGTCCGAGGTTCGAATCCCGCGAACGGGCTGGCTGCATGGGTGTTTTCGTGGTTTTCCCCATGTGTAACGTGTATACGAGCCAGTTTCCCTTAGAAAGTCCTCCACGAAGGCATCCCTCCCTTAAGGCAGATAGCCCTCGAGTGCTTTGCCATAATATAATAAACCAAACCAACCTTCCAGGAAATGGCGAGAATTCGCTACTTCGTCGTTCAGTTGGGTCTACAGTTTATGCTCCCGAAACACAGAAGATTCTACAAATTCAAAAGCCTTTTACTTTTTCCATTAGTTCAAATCGCACAACTTCAATTATAGCCCTTGATACTTTAGCTGGTACTCTTCTACTATCAGTCAGTGCAGAAATGGAAAGCACTTACCTACATGAAAGTCCTTCAGCCTAACTAAGCTGCAGAATTTAACAAGCAAACTTTTCTGCCATCCAGCTATGAAAACAAAATTAATCCCAATCTTATTTATCCAGCGATTCCTTCAGCAAAACGAAATTTCTAATGTCTGATGAAAATTCAAGTAGTTGGTATGTTCCGTCGTTCAATAATAGTGGACTGTAAATTGACTTGATGTTCCCTCAGTGTAGAACTCACGAAACCTCAGAGTCATAATGCTGACCGAAACTTCTTTGTTGGCTTTCAAATATCAAGCTGGCTGAGGAACGGCGAAGAACACGTTGGAACCTCAGACTTCAGTAGCGGCTCACCAAACAAACTCAGAAGAACTTCTATCTAGTTGAAACTCCAAAGGGGTGGCTGTGAATCATCACCACTCTGAAAACGCGAGCTTTAAAATCCTAACAAATTTGCGTCTGCGCCTCTCCTCGGTACAAAGAAATACAATTTGCATAACATCGAACATAGTTCATTTCCAGTTGCATTTATTGATGGATCAGAAAATTGAAAGAAAAGTTGGTTCAGCAGTCTACTTTCAAATATCATTAGAGGGAAAGGTTATCTCCATAATAATAGTGTTTTCCAAGCGGAACTGTCAGCCATAAAAGAAGCGCCATTCTCAATCTCAACGAATCCACCATAAAATTTGATTCCCAAGCAGCTATTTTAGCGATTAAGAGTCCCTTACCTTCCTCTGCATTGATTTCCAACACGAATTATCTTCGTGCTTTAATTCCAAACTAAAAAATTCAAATTTTATGGACATTGTGACCAATCAGGCAGGTGAATGAGCCAAAGAAGTAGCTCTTAATCAAGATGCTATTGAAATTATCGTTTCATGGCCTCGCTCAAATTTCAAGTACCAACTAAAACAACTTGCTTGAAAATACTCCCAAGATTTGTGGAATAATGCTTTACAGGGAATACACTAATAACTTGATTCCCAATGTAAGCTTTGCATCTCTTTATTCGAATCTTTCATTAAATTACTATATAACAATTAAATTACATTAAATTACTATATAACCCTTCCCCTCAACAGGCAACTCCTGATCATTACACTTTCTCATTCTCTTAACTGAGGATAATCACATAAAATCCGCACAAACTGATATCCTGTCATTCTAAAGGTTTCTAATTGAAGATAAACATCAGTATCTGACGATCAAAAAAATTATGCAACGACTCTCTTCCTACAGGCTAGATCTTTGTCAAGTACAAGTTCTCATACTGCATAAATTTAGTAAACTGTAGTTGAATTAGTACTTTTTATAACTGTAACAACCCTGGGATACCGTTTTAGTATTATTATAATTAATAGTCATTATAACATTGTGTTCCCAGTACTTATGATATTTATCTCATTATGTTTTTCTGTATACTTATTATGTTTATTTGTTATTTTTGTTACACTAAAACAGATGTTTAGTTTAATTCTGGAATTCCAAATTGTGTTGAAACTATATTGTAATCTGTATACCCTTAATCATTATTTTGAATAAATACTGAATGCGGGGTATACGGTGGAATTGCGCAATGTACTGTAATAAGGAAACTCTAGATCCTCTGGAAAGTTTCAGTTGTTCATTTCCTTAATGTTTCTTTGTAAATTCATATAAAATTCGCAATTTTTCTTCCTTTTTTAAGCAGTTACTTAATATGGGAAGTTATTACCATTTGACCCATGGTAAATCGTTGGTGTCCCCATACTTTTACTTGTACCTCTACCCGAGCATAAAGTGATCCAGCTCACCCGACGACGAACTTATGCACTTATACCACTCTTTTGATTCAGATTCTACCTTCGGGTAATGTAGAGCAAGACACCTAAATTGTAGGTGCACTAAGTGCTTTTAGGACACCGGGAAAATCGATGGAAAAATCGAAGTAACTACTTGCTGCAACTTGCGGAGGAAGAGGACATCTTGTGTATTATCGTGGGTGGCCTAAATTTCCCACAAATAAGTCTAGCAAGAGGAATTTATTACAGCCAAGACTAAGCTACTCACAGGCCTTGGCAGCAAAAAACCTCTTTTTCACCAAAAACCCAAACTAGCCGAAATACTCACGAATCCACGCCAGGTGCTGCTGAAATCAATTGCAATCTTTTTGATTTTGTTAAAACGCTAAAACATACGAGTAATACTCCGAGTGCATCTAATGCAAACTCTGAAAATTCTAAAACTATTATTAATGTTATGTCTATTAAAATATGCTGCCATTTGGGATAAACTTTGTCAACTCTCCATTTCCTATCCTTGCAAAACTTATATATTCTGGTACCTTATCTCTTTAACCAACAGCCAATCACTAAACTTCTGACTCCTTCACGTTATATGACTACGCCGTTCCACCCTGCTCTAGTCTAACAATCGATCATTTGAGATTCGACGACCATGATTGAGCTCTTGCCTCTTGAATTCTTATTCACTTAATCACTCTACGTTCTTCATTACTCATATCTATTGGGTAATGTTTTAAATATACTACTAGCAGAGAATTTATGCTATTTATGATATGGAAAAAAAACTTTAATGTTATACTGGGATAGGTCTTCGTTCGAGGAACCGAGCCTTGTGGACTTCGGCCACCTAAGACTCATGTAAGATGTAAGAGCTTTTACCCAATCACCTTTTACTGTAAGAAAGCATTAAATCAAATACTGCTATTAATTTTTCAAAATTTTACTATTCTAGTTATAAAATATTAAAAACTTGAAATTTCGTTGCTTTGAAATTTACTCGAATTTTTATTAAATTGTCTTCAATTTTATGGCATTAATAAAATTTCCCGTCGACTCTTATTAACAAATAAAAACTGTCACCAAATTGTAGGATCTAGTGCCAATAATATACTAGCGTGACATCATAACATTCTTGGTTCCGATGTTATGCCGCACTTAGCTAATATATCTAACTAGCTTTTTGCCGGCTCAACAAAATAAAGATGCTCTATGTCGCTGAAAGTTAAAAAAAAAATTTCTTGCTCTAGAAATTACACATCATGAAGTTGAAGAAAGAGGGGCCAAAACATCGCTGGCACTATAGGATAGTTGTTCTTGAAGCTGTACAGACGTACCAAGCTCGAGAGGTGGTGCCGTCTATCTCGCCCTAGGCGAGTTAGTCCATTTCATGGTACTGAAAAGAGAGTTACAATTTTGCTAGCATATCAATAAAGTACAATACAAGCTGTAATTTTTCTTCTTGAGAATTCCTGTTTTTAAAGTACAGGTGTCGCTGGATTCTCCAGTAGATACTTTATCTAACTGTGTTCCACAAAATAAATCTTTCACATCGTTAGAGTCCATTATCTTATCAGGAATAGCTGAGGCATGGACAATAGCTTTAACATTTGAATCATAGCATAAGAGTTTCGCCTTGTTTATATATAAGCCTAATGAGCCCATTTTAGCGATCACGTGGTGACATGCTTGCTTGGTGCTGGTTGATAAATAGTTGCTTGCTCATGTCGCCATCTATTAGCACCAATGGAAGTGAAGCAGCGCACGAGTTTTTCATACTCTTGAAGATGATAATGACCTTGGGATTCGATCCTGGGTCTTTTATATGGCAGTCGAATACCATACACCTGTTGCAAAAGAGCTCCCGTGCGACAGATTCTGATATTCGAATTGCTTTTTAATGCGATCATTTGGAATATTTCTCGAGATCGCTTGGAAGACTGTGGAAATCGGCAAAATGGTTCAGCTAAAAATAACGTGCAATCACTCAACATCATTTAGATTAGTATTCAAGGGAGCTTACGTGGCGCTGAATTTACAAAAAGGATGATTATTTTGAATGCAAATAAAGGATCTTTGGCTGTCGGTATAATTGACGCAAGTTTTAAGGAATTGGTTTTAAGGTTAGTCAAGTAATCTCAAGGCTTGAATTCATATTTATCTCATATTTTTTTTGTATTGCTATATGTGTTATGGGCATCTATTAATTAAACAAACAATGATCTGTGATTACCTAACTAAATAGTGAATGATCTGTTCTTTTAAATTCCCATCGGAATAATTGGCGCAAGTTTGGCCGGATCTCTGCCAACTTTTATAGCCGGATCCCCGCCATAACATTTGGCGAAATCGTATATAAAGTACCTTAAATTATGTAAGGAGCAATTTCTTCATTAGCAGTAAAATAAGTGCATATTTAACGGAAATAGCTGTATGGAGTATTCATGCAGTTGTTTCCGTTAAATATGCGTTAAATGCTCTTCGTTGCAAATGTTTTACGCCGGAAGTTTTCGTCATACGTGTATCCTTCCAACGTCGTTGAGAACTTTTCAATGCGCTGCGCCTTTTGCACAGGAAAAAGTGGATGTCGACATTGGAAAATTTCGAAATTGTCTTCACTGTAACTATAACCGTGGCAGCTCTATTGTTTTAAATCATCACCATCTCGAGCACATACCTTCAATTAACAATATATGAAATTTCCTTCCGATTGGTTGAGCATAGGCCGCTTGGGTTTTCATATATCGGAGAAGTTTTTTAAGATCACCCTGTACATCGCCCAGTTGTTCTATGTACCAATAACAGAGAAATCTTATTGCATGTTTTTTTAACTTATTACGTGCTTCGCCCTTGGCACCACTACACCGAAAGAGAGTGATGCCCTGTGGAGGTCTTTTTAAGGGAAATTGGCTCTTATTCACGCTACACATGGGGAAAACCACAAAAACTCCCATAAAGCCAGCTCGTTCGAACTGCCAGTGTTCAGCGGTTTTTATCGCTCGGCCGCTGGTGGGCCCTCTAGCATGTTTCACTTGAAATAAATTTATATGAAGGCAGTGAATCGGACGTCAAGAATAGGAACCGAACCAAGATTATATTTCTTTGTTGAAAGATTTATCGTTTCCTTTCTAAAGAAAAGAAATTCGTTACAAGATTGTTGCGTGCGTTCCTGTTCGTAAAAGACTGAATGCGCAAGTCCGATTATAGGTTGATAAGATTTATTCTTATCAAAAACAATATATCAGAAAGCTGGAATTTTTCCTCAGAGATATTTGTACAAGTGTTCACAATATCACGCAGTATAATCAGTAGTTATACTTCACACTACTAGAAACGTCAAAGCACGACGCAAGGCAAAGCGCATCTAAAGAAAAAGCTAACTCGGATATCTCAGTTCATGCAAACCTAAACAACAACAGTAGCTAAGCAACTGCGAGCGGATGCGCTCTCTTCGGCTTTAAATAGTTTTCAACCGGCCACGAGATATTTCTAGTACTTTCTGCTTCTGAAAATTACTGGAAAGCAAAACGGGAATGGAATTATGATTGCAGCTAACACAGTGGTCAATTACATTTATTCAATTTAAATACAAATTACCGAGATAACCATTTACTTCACGTTAAATGCAAGTGCTCCTGTAGTTTAACTTACCCGGCATAGCTTTCTCTTAAAATTTGTCTGGCGCTGCATCGCGCGAGGAAATACAACAATTTTAAGTATAATTCTACTAAAATTACCTATCTAAATACAAAATCCAGCAACAGTATTAACTTATGATGCGTATTATAAGTACTTCATTTTTCTTTTTTTGAATTGCAGAGAACAAATGGAGCACGTTTGCGATATCGAAGCTATAATTGATCCATCGATGGTAAAGAAATTTCATGGCCGAGATGATGATGTAGTCAAGGACATATACATTCAAACACAGCTGCTGAATAAGATATTCGAGAAGGTGAAACTGAAAAAAGAAGGAGGAATTATCCATTCAGTTTTCCACATCAATAAAATTGTAACGTATGCTGATCACACTCACAGCCCATTCTCACATGATACTGACCTGAAATATTTCACAGAAAATCACCGGGAAGCAAGAAAATATTGTCTTTCCATAGGTAAATTCTATATAATTATTGTAAACTATAGCAAACTGCTGAATGAAGTTAATGGTTAAATTAAGGAGTAAAAATATATTTCAGGGTACCCCTTGGCGAAAACTGGCAATTTTCTGACGCTATTCCTCTTCTACGTAAAATGCCCTCCCAAGTGAAATGGCGTCCAAAACCCAAAACATAATGCAATAAAACATAATTAAAACAAAAATCTATAATCTCAATAAACTGCATTTTAAATCGAACAGGGAAATAGCATAAGAATGGAAATAAGTGCTATGTCATCTACGCAATAAAAAAAAAAAAAGGGGGGGGGGAAAAAAGGGAAAAATCAACTTACCTTATTTAAAAGTTTCTGTTTCTTCGATATGTGTGACACACAGAATTCCTTAACAGCATCCAAAAGCTATTTGAAATTATCTAAACTAGAATCTGTATATTGCCGTTGTCACATTAATTCAGAAAAGTAAAACTGAAAAATATCCTCCGTACTGCCGGACTCTCGGTAGCATTTCTTTCGAAATTCCCTTTTTATTACGCCCCACATACCTTCCACAGTGTTGATATGAGCCCCGGTTTCCCAATCTCATTGCGTAATTTACGGGGAGGTGAACGAAACCATTTAAACCTTCATTTACACACCAGTCAATCCATTCAATCTTTCCCAATCGTTCCAAAGTGTACAGAAACTTCAGGTTAATCGTACTACTAGCAGGCATTTTACGGTTTAAGCACAAAATAAGCAACGTACTTTCCAACCAACATCCATACCTGAGTAAGCCCTTACAAATATCTTCTCGTCAGTCAAAATCACCGCAATCAAGCATTACAAGCAATCAATCATAACAGGGTTTCCATAACATTCAACTACTCAGGATACCATAGATGGAAAAACTTGGCGATAAATGAAACAACAATTTGGCGATAATCCAAGGGGTTCCCTATAATATAGGCTAACCAATTGAAGTTTTTAACTTTTTTCATGTAAACAAGATTAAATACTTTAATTTTTCCGTTTTATATTGCCAAAAACTCTTAACTTAGAAATTCTGAAACAAACAAAAAAGAGAGAAAAAATTCCAAAATCTTTTGCAACCATCGTAACCGTATCGTTACAGAGGTTTTACTGCACATGTATTCTTTGGGATTTAATTATATTTCTCGACTGCTGCTTTCGGTATGATAATTGAAATTTAGTGTTTGGTCTTCTTAAGAGTCACAATAAGCTTGCAACATGGCAGCTCAGTGGCAGGAAGATTGGGACACAATCCCATAGGGTAGAAGGACCCATGAATTCTTCTATGAAACAACGAGAAAACAGGTCTCAGACTCACCTCTCACGAGGTTCATAAAGGGACATGTATATCGTCTACTGTTGAAAATATAAGCTTCCAAAAATTGTACGGTGCCTACTGCGCCTCTGATGATGTCCAAATAAGAATATGTATATCAAGAATTAGTTGTTCAGTAATAAATTATGTCTTGTCTTAAGCCATAGGCGCACGCTGTTAACATCCTTCTTCCTAAGAGTCACATTAAGCTTGCAACATGAAAGACAGTTCTAACTCAGTGGCAGGAAGAATGGGACACAACCCCACAGGTAGAAGAATGAATTCTTCCATAAAACATCAACAAACAGACTGATCTCAGACCCACACCTCACGAGATTCATAACAGGACACGGGCCATTCCCGATCTTCTTTTTTGAGACAGGTATTGCGGGCACCAATATCTGTGTGTGCAGATGGATCAGAAAATCCGAACAGTACCTGACAGTCTAGCCGCTCACAGAAACCTAACGCATTAGACCTCCAGTAAACGTGGCTGTGGACAAAAGATTTCTCGTTAAAAAGTGCATGATGGGCAAATTTGAAACTCTAGGCACGGAACTCTGCAGTAACAGACTTTACTTCCCCACAAATCTAAGCCGTAGTACTCTGCCTCTTCAGTAGCCTGCACCCAAGATTCATAAAAAAGTCACAACTGAGCCATGCCCATTTCGTACATACCGTAAGCGTATTCAAGAGACACATGTAGATAGCCGCATTCAGATGTGTGTATATAGAAGTATGTAGTTATGAAAAAATTCTGCAAGCCAATATTAATATTATTTGGATTGTACATTTCCCACACGATCACATGGTGTGATTCTTATTCAGGCCATTGCAGCTTTCTGCATAACGCTAAGATCTTAATTGTATGTACGAAATATGCCCTTGTAACTCAGCGTGTATTTTAGTGTATCACTATGAGTGATATAATAGCTTCAGAATTAGACCAGTCGTATGTATGTAATTTGTACTTGCATATATATGGAGGTGTGTTTCAATTTGACTGAGCGCATCAATGCTTCTCTTAACGAACAAATTAGTATAATTCAGTGAATCAACGCCTGGTACGTATTGAAATAAAAACGTCTCTAAATGAATTCCCGATGCGGTGATTTATGTATGTCGTATATAGTCGTATAGTTCCAATTACAAAGGCAGAGGAGTTTTGGGTTGGGGGCTATTTGTGGGGAATAAACTGGTTCATTCATAGAGCAAAGTATGGTAGCTGAAAATCATCCTAATGGAACCATAAAGAAGGGAAAAATGCAGGAAAACATGATGTCAATGCAATTAAAACTCTACCACTAAATGTAGTTTTTATATACCCAGACAATTATAAAATTTAAATCGGAAAGGTTGTGTTACTATTGCCTGTTACCGCAGGTGACCGAATGAATTAAAATATACATAAACTGAAATTTATATTCAAGGAGACCTGAGGAATATTTCTTTAATGAATTAAAATTCATAATTCTTCCCTTTCTCCGAGATTAAAAATCTGGTATGGACATTACATGACTTTTTTGTACGGTCTATTAAATTACACAACCTTTTTGCTGCACTTCATTAAAAACTACTTCCTCGAATTATTATAAAGTAATTAACCTGTCCTTCAAGGTAAGCTAAAAATGACATCAAAACCAGCAAAAATTTTGAAATTAAATATCCCGGTCAATTTTTGTCTTACGAAGTCAAACTACTTATCATTTCATTTTTTCGTAGCGAGTGTAAAACTTTCCCAAATATAAGTATACGAACCAGAAGTCCGCATTAAACGTTAGATTTCGTTATTTGCACTTAAAAAAAAAAAAAAAAAAAGACATTGCTAAATATGATCTTTCCTCATTTAAAACACTTTGTAATTAGAAATATACACAGACAACGATTACAAAATAACCCGGGTACACACTTTTAAGCCATATATATATATATATATATAATTTATTTCCTAAAAGTATTGATTAATTGATTATATTCTCCTAAGTTTAATTAAAGTAGAATTATTTAAAGTGGGTTCCATACTGGTAAGTATATTTTGAAAGTGTTTTGAAGTAATTTGAAAGCAAAATGTTATAATGTTTACGGGGCTGGAGTTAAATCAAGAAGATAAGATATCAATTGTCAAAGGAAAAATTAAACTTCATTATTGTATTGATCGGAAAAATAACTTATATCGCCATAAATGGATTTAAGTTAACAAACATTATATTATATATATATATATTATATATAATCATTTCTTTCCTATTGCGATTGCAATAAAAAAGGGAGCTGCACAACAAGTAGCAATCCTATATACAAAATTTCAACGTTCTACTGCTAATTGTAGTACTAGTAATAATTCACGCAAAAAATCGTCCAAATGGATTCGGGAACGATCAGTTTTGGTTTAGTTTTATGTGATTACGGCAAAGTTGCGAGGCTTTTCTGCGTAAGGGAAGAGATGCCTTCGTGGAGGACTTACTAAGTCTCGGATACAGGTTACATATGGGGAAATCCAGTAAAACGCCCATGCAGCCAGCCCTTTTGCGGAATTCGAACATATTCCACTGTACAGCTACTTTTCAGGAACGATCAGAATAGGCATTTCCGTTGAAATATGATACTTGAAATTGTTCGCTATAACAATACTTTCTTTTCTTTGTACAAAGAGCTAGAAAAAAAAAACTGTCTCAGATTTTTTTCTTCCCTGAAGTTTTCTAACGTGCTAGTCTATTTCGGCAGTCAAAAACTTGCCAGATTCATTCACCAATTCCTTTACTACTCTTTTATGTATTTCTTAATATTATTGTAATTCTATTAAAAAGGCTCTCACGGTTCATACTTTTCTTTACCAGCTTTTGTGAACAAGCAATTAAAATCCAAAGAAATATTTGAAGGCTACATTCCCAAAGTTGGCGGCGGAGTCTGTTCTCGCAACGGAAATGTCATATTAGTCAGTCACGGAGACACAAACGCCCCGGCACCCATGGCTTTGTATTTTGCTGCTTATCTGAGGGCTGTGACTCGTGCATTTGGGGCTGCGGACACAGATAAGGACTGTCAAAAAGGAAATCCTCCGAATCCCATGGAAGAGATACAGAAGCTGATCCTAGGCAAGTCCTTCGACCCTCCTAAAAGTATCAGTATCTTTTCCAGTTGTAATGTACAAGATATCATCCACGTTCTCCGAAAGAAAGGTAAGGTTTGCAAAATTCAGCTTTTACTTTCTTAAATTTTCTTTTGTTCAAAATTTGCATAGACTGAGACATTATTGAGTTAAAACGTTGTGAAAATTACCAAATGGCGAGTAATTAATGTTTATTGTTTTGGCCAACGCTTATTGATTATAAAACTATTCAGCAAATTGATGTAAATCAAATTTTATTTTTTTAATTAACAAATTACTTTAATAATGTATGGTTCCCAAGTCCTTGTCTCGGATGAACGTTGAGGAATCTTCTGAAATATGTAGCGACTTATCGCTGAGTTCAGAACAACTTAGACTCGAGAAGGGGTAAAATACCCTTTCATTCGCTCAAATAAGAATAACAGTCGGCTCCTTCTCCGGCTTACAGGAAAGCCTCTACTCGGGCTTTAACTCAGAGTAAGAAAATAAGAAACTAAAATATAATTAACACGTTGAGCGCCACGTCAGCCATCTGTGGCTGACACTAGGTTTTCCGTTTAGGCCGCGTCGACCACCGCTGGCTGACAACGTGTAACATGATATATAGCTATAAAGTTTACACTGTTTTATGAAATTACACAAAATTTGTTAAAATTTACTTAATTTTGATTCATGATTTGATTTTGATGCATTGGATTTCATTGAAACACGCTAAACATAAAACGATTTCTCTTACACTATTAAAAAGTGACAACTCTCTCAACCTTTTTGGCCATTACTCTACCAGTTCTGTTGATCTATCATACATAATTACAATATTTCGACTTCAGAGGTTTTTTTCCGGTTTTCATCGGAGTTTATGTGTCGTTTCTAGATTTTGCAGTTTTGTTCGACGAATGTCTTTTATTCACAATTTGTTGCTATCGCTATCTTATCGCGATAAGAATCACTAGCCCTACAATACAGCGCTTTTAAGCGAAGCGCGTGGACTGAACGGTAGCTAAAACATACGCGTGGCGCTCAATGTGTTAACTAAACGAGACTAGCCGAAGCTTAACAGTCGAAGCTATCTTACGTACCTGGCCTTTAAATTAAACTAGCTGGCGAGAATCAATAGACACTATATGGCCGATTAACACAACTTCCTGCCATAACGAGTGTTTAGAATCGCCTTGAATGCAAATGAGTTAGAAGAAGTATTTAAAGAAGGTACAACTAACTTCGATAGAGAAAACTAGGAGTCCTCAGTAGCGTGTTTGGCTTCTGGCTAAGTCACTCTTGAAGCTGTTACGCTCGGCCGTATTCTACGTGCCTATTTGATGTTCGCCTTCTAGTTTAATCTAAGCTCAAACTACGTTAAATAATTGTGTTTAGCTTCGGCTAACTCTCATTTAGTTAATTATACTTTAGTTTCTTATTTCTTGTTCTGTAGTAGTTGTAAGCTCGAGAAAAAGCAGAGTGTAATTCTTATTTGAGTGAGTAAAAGGGTAATTTGCCTTCTCGAGTCTACGTCTTTAGTTCTTTGAACTCAGTGATAAGTCGCTACATAGTTCACCAGATTCCTCGACGTTCATCTTAGACAAAAATGTATAAGGAACCATACCACCTCATTAAAACGTTATTTCACAGTACTCATTAATAGTTATTAAGTATCTGGTATTAGTACTTTTTTGTTGTTGTTGTTGTTGTGGCTTACCTCATTTATCCGATAGTAACATCAGATCAAGTTCACGAGTTTTATAGGTATTAAGAAGCAAGGATTGAGGGCGTAGGCCTTCGGTACTTGTATTTGTACTTTTATTTGTTTGAGGAACCCTACAAGTAAAAGTATCATTGAAAACTCAATTTTGCATTGATTCATTTGAGCACGAGGTTTGCAATAAGTGCTTTTCTCAAGTAATATTACTTTCTATTTTCCTCGACCCGAAATCTGAAAAATCAAAACCATAGATATTTCGAAAAAGTACCTTGCTACCGTAGAATGCTCGTTCAGTGAAAGCTATCAATCGATCAAAAATGTGTAGAAACCAAAGAATTTGATGCTAAACGTGCTTGAGTTTCGTACACTTCCCTTCCTTTAAATTTAAGAAAAATTTATTTAAGTAGAAAATTTTTAAAAAGTTAATATTTATTAAATAACATATTTGCTGAAAAACATTTATAAGTTGCTTGAAATAAATTTATACGTATTTCAAACTGCCATTTGTAAGTTAAAAACCTAAGTAATGTAAGCATCTTTGCTCATGAACAGCCTCGCTCTTTAATAAAGGATTTTTAGCTTCAAGTGTTTTATCTTTATTTATCCAGATGCTAGGTTATACATTCGAAAATTAAACTGCAAAGCTTCCTAGAAGACGAAAGATTTTTAAATGATACTGCTTTTCATACTCTGATAATCATCCTTTTATGCCAGATAAGGGTTCACAGTTCGTTTCAGTAGTCAATATCCCATCTTACAGGATAATTTTGCCGCCCAAACGAATATAGTGGTTATTGTCGTTGACTACCCTGCCAAAGGTTCCCGGGTTTGAATCACTGAGAAGACATGGATGTTTGTAAATGTATACGGCCTGTGCGGCGTGGGGGCACTCTAAATATGCGACGAGCTGAAATCCTCTCAATAGGTTGATGGTAGCGGAAGAGGGGGGAAAGAAGACCCTCGGACTCGTTCCTCCAGGGTGCCCTCCATCAAAATTGGGGACGGAACTGAGCTAAATCGCGCTATCACCTGTAAGGTGCTCAAGGCTGTTGCCAACGACAGATGTAAACTTACGCTCCTTGCCACGAGGAATTTTCGTGGGCTTTGGCTGACTAACGTCAGACAAGCATTAGCAACAACAATAATTTTTTCTTCCTCTTTCAGACTGCTTTCAGAAGATAAAACATGACACTTGTGGCAATGGTATTCGAGAAGAAAATGAAATATGCGACTGTGGACCGAGCTTCGTTTGTGATTCTATCGATTCGTGCTGCACACCAGCCCATTCTGCCGACTCTCGTACAAAAGGATGCCTCCTTCGTAATAAGGCCAAATGCTCTATCACTGACGGATGCTGCAGCAACTGCCAGATTATTAACCAAACGGTAAGCTGGGGCTTCGACTTCAGACAAAATACAAATTAGTAAGACGCCCAAAGGCGTTTTTTATTTATTTATTTATTTATTTTTCATTTTTAACGTTTTGTGTGTTACCTTTATTTACTAAATATCATTTCCTCGCAGTGTTAAATTATGAATTAATTCAACAAAAAGCCGCAAAATAATTAAAAGAGCCACTTTAGAATTCGTACACGTTCGCACGCTGGATAAAAATGTTTTTCATACGCGTGCCATGGCTTCGCTTGGGTGGTTCCTTTGATATTAAGTTAAAAAGATATAAACAAATCCCTCGGGATTCCAATGCCCATATCGGTGGCGACGTACTTATTCAAAATTGGATGGCTGTAGTGCCGTTGTTTTTCATCACATGCAAAACATACATACATTTACGCGGGGGTCTGATGCTTGCTAGGAGTTCAAACCGACCCTCTTCCCAATATTACATATATTTACGCAGATTCTTCATTATTTAATTTCTTTAAATATAATACAGGGCGATAATATTTGGTGGCAATAATTTGAAAAGTGATTCAAATTTTTAAGGTTGTCAACTCAAAATACTAAATCGAAATGAATACCTCTTTTGGGCTAAAAAGCAAAAAAACTAATGCGTGCATTATTCCGCAAATTATTCACTCTGCCCGCAAATGTTTTTACCCGATCTTTATTTTCGAAACCATTGGTCGTACATGTACAATTCCAGTTACAAAAAAGTTTTGACTTAGCTATTTCAGTTTTTGCATTTTTTTAATTTAAAAATATCACTTTTGTCATTATTATGAAACGCTTTTATAAGTTTTAACTTTTATACGATTCTCCGGTCCTTGTGGTTATATTTAGAAAAATTTTGTTCTCGTTATAAAAAAAAAAAAATAAAAAAAAAAAAAAAAAAAAGAAAAAGTTTGTCTCATACGATAGAAATTACTGAGATGTTAATCAAAAGTTTGCTATTTTTTATGTCATTTTCAGTTTGCACCGAGGGGTCGGTTAATAAATAAATTAGAATAATTCCTCCAGGCTGATTTTTTTTTTCTTCCTTAAATTTCGTTCAATGATATTCTTTCGTAATTTATTTATTGTCTTTAATCTATAATGGTGTTATATTTAGTACGCCGAACGAATTTTCACACAAGTAATTTATAAGTTTTCAAATTTTAAAAATACGTTATTAATATTCCCGTGAAATATTATTACTTTAGATTCCTGATCTGGTAATCGGACAAAATCATTAAACTACAAATATTTTTCATTTAAAATTAATGCAAACAATATTATGAGTTAGCTACGTGCCAATACTAAAGCCTGCTAGGATTTTTTAGAACAGGAATTCTGCAAGATTATGTGAATAAGAAATTGAATTAAAAAAATTACATTGCTCAGTACTATTCACAATTACTTGCATAAAAATGCTCACCTCTTAATTTATTAACACCAGACACTTTTTTCTAAAGTAGGGTTCTCAGCCAAGGGCGAATTCCGCTCAGGGGAATTTCAGGAGGTTAATGCGGTCGGCCTTTAAGAATTTAGTTTTAGTTTACGAATATTAAAAACTATATTTATTCAAGTTTTGGTGTTTCTCTCATTTCTTTTTTTCTTTTTTCTTCTTTAAAATAAATGCATTAAAACACACAAATTTTTAATAATATAGCACTCCCGAGTTTTGGTTTTTTCTTTAAAGCCCAGAGTACAGCCTAGGCCTAGATCCGGGTCTTAGGGGACTCCAGAATCATTCTAATTGTTAGGAGAATTATTGGTTTTCTCCCCCCCCCCCCCTGAAAAAAATGCTCCCCAGAGATAAGCTTGTCTTGATTGGGCCTTGATACCAGGTTATCCATGCAAGATGGTTTGGTTTCGTTTATTTAACCACTAGCGGAAGTAAGCTAGATTAGGAGCAATGTATCTAACAACAAAGAGAACGGCATCGCTGGAATCCTTCTGTAATAATGATGCAAAAAATACGATTCACAGTCATACATTTTTCAATCTAATGCGAGATGGAACTCACATAAAAATTTCGATAGCAAAATAAGCTAATTCTCTCTCATTATATCAGCAACAATGGCACGCAATTTTCAATGATTTTAGTCTTTCTAATCAAATGATCCTAAAGGCTCAAGTTCCATTGAATATTTCAACTATATTCAATTTTAGTCGATCAAATGTGGCAAGAAAAAATGGATCATAATGGACCAGAAATCAATAACGCGAACAAACAAACACCCAAACAGACATGCTTCTTTATATGTATAGCTTTTAGAAAATTTACAAATTTTCTGTTAACAAACTCTACAATTTGAAAGCGAGTAGTAGTAACACTTTTCGAAATAAAGCCAGCGTGCGAAACTGTTGCCACTCTGAAAATGAGAGCAAAAATTTACGTTTCCAGAATGTTTAATTAACATATCTGATTTTAGCTTTTTTTTTTTTTTTTTTTTGGGGGGGGGGAAGAAAGTGCACATTGATCTTTCCCAGGATCCAGAAAAGAATCTTCTTTATATATATTGTTGCATGCGTACGGGCTCGTTTGAATTGGATGCATAAGTCCGATGAAAAATAAACAAAATTTATTATTATCACAACAAATAAAACAAAACGCTTCAATTTCCTCAGATATTCGTACAGTATTACAAATATCTCACAGTAGTTATCTTTTTCCTACTCAAACGCTCAACAAAACTTAATTCAAAACGACTAGAGAAAGCTAATCCGCGAATTCGCTACAGTCGACAAGAGCAGTTTTCTAAACAAACTCTTGAAACAACAACTAAATGAATAACAACGAATTGAGAGGTTTTCGGGCCGCTTATATAAGCTTTTTAAATGCGCGAGAATTTCCTACCACTTTCTCGAAATCAAAAAGAGATATTTATTTATTAAATGTTAAATGCGGGTGCTCTTGTATTTTTAATTTCCCAGCTTAGCTTTCCTTTAATATTCGTCACGCGCTGCACTGCATTGGGAATAAAACAATTTAATTTATAATTCAACTAACATTAGCTATTTAAATACCAAATCCGTAACACTATATACAGTTTGCAAAAAATTAGAAGGCGATCAGCCTGAGGGAAGAGGATTCGTGGAGGATTTTCTAAGAGAAAGTAGCCTTTGTATGTTACGTTATACTCGAATAATTTAACCTACTTTTAGCGGTATAAAATAGTTGGTTAGCTGTTTGATTATGCCAAAGCATGCGACGGGGGTCTTCGTGTTTTCGTGGAGAACTTCCTAGGGAACATTGGCTGGTGTTCATGTTCTACATGGGAAAAAACACGTAAAGTATTTATGCAGTGAGCTCTTTCGCCGGAATTCGAACCCAGGTCGAACTACTTATGCTCAGCGGTCTTACCACTCGGCCGCTTTTAGGCAGAATTGAACACCGAAAATATGAGTAAAGAATGACAAAGAAGAATAAGAATACTCTCTGTCATTTCTTAACTCAGCTAAAAAGTATATAACTGAGTCATTAGGATTTTTGAAGTAAGAAAAAGGAAAAATGCAATTTTGCCCTTGCCGAACCTGCACCTCTCGAATACGTGCCGAGTGTGCTACCGGTTACACCACGAAGACGTGAAAATAGGAGGGAGAAAATACCTCATAAAATCATTGTGATCTACCCAACATGTGCTTATTTTCAAGCGTTCTTCTAATAGCTACAATACACACATATGTACGTACAATGCAGATTTGTGATAGCACTCAGAAGAAAATTAATATTGATAATTGATTGCTTCTGAAAGTTCTCGCGTTATTCTTATTAACTTGCATTATAATACACGAACATTAATTTTTACGGAAGCGTGTATTCAAAACGGTATTTTGAATTTCTTTGGTGTGTCAAGTCTTAAATTTTAGCTCGATGCTTTTTATTCGTTTAATTATTTAAAAAATAAGAACTGAGGAAAATATAATTAATGTCTTTAAAAATCCGTATTTATTATTCTAGGACGAATTTCTTAAAATGAGCTGAACAACGTGAGCTTGTGGCCCATAGCATTAAAATATGTATCTCATATTGGCCACGCGCTGTGCGTACGTGAAACTCATTGCTCTAAGTGTCTAAGTCATTGCTTCAGCAGATTCAACAATATACTCGGAGATTTCCAACGATGTGAAACTTTTTAATAATGCGTATACATGTTTAGAACATATTTATTCGTTCTAGTTTTAAGGTAAGAATGAAACTTAGTGACGTTTCAATCACGCAACATAGTAATTCAGCTTATATGCCAGTAGGTGCTGCCATCTGAAGAGAAAAACTTGAGAAATATTTGCGCCGCCTTTTGATCGCCGTTGAAGATTTTCGTAAGCAGGCGTAATATAAAATCCCAAAGCTTTCAGACTTTTTTTTTTAATTAAGAGTGGTTTAATTCGTCGTTGCGCCTTTTATTGTATATCAATCCATGTCACTGCGCAGATGCGAATGATAATATCAAATACAATCAATAGAATGATTTGACATAACAACAGTATGCGGGTAAACGGGATTACTTTCTCGTCAGGCAAGTATACCTTTGTAGTGGCCCAGTTATTGCATGAGAAATAATTATTTTTTATTTCATATATTTGTTCATTCGTTTAATTATTTTATAAAATTAACTTTAATGTTTTGTTAATATTCATATTTATATTTCTTTTATGCTGAATGGCAACAAGTAGTTCATATTTATATTTAAATTTCTTTATGCTGAATGGCAACTAGTTCTGATTCATGATTGCTTGATTTTGGTTTCAAAACGTTGCTATTCTAGTAGCGTCGCATTTCGATAGCTGGAAAATAAAAAGCAATGAACTTAACTATTTGTTTATAATTCATGCTGTTCCTAATCATAAATTAATGTTAAACATTAGTAGCTTAACATTAACCTTGCCTTATCAATCCATAATGCACAAGATACATTTCTTCTCTTTTTTTCAGGTGAAATGTTTCAGTGGAAATAATGATTGCGATATTGGGATGTGCGACGGGAAGACTGCCAGTTGCCCTAAAGGACAAACTGCATCACTTTATATGGTATGTGGTGAGCAGAAACGTGGCGCAGCTGTGGATGCCCAACTGTGCGAAAACGGAGTCTGTTCAAAGAGTCTGTGCGCATCCAAAGGACTTTTACCATGTTCATGTGCGAACGTTACCGGAAAAAGTTGCATGTATTGTTGCATGAAGGACGGCAAATGTTTGTCAGCCACTAAAGATTTGAAATTATACAGTGGAAAGCATTTCTTCCTCGAGGATGGTACAGACTGTCCAACTGGAACTTGTTTGTAAGTATTTCTTAACGCATTTTGTTTAGGATCTCCTTTCAGACAGATCACGTGTTACAGATTTTCTGTTATTCTGCCATATTTCAATTCAAATTTTAACACTGTAAGATGCAATAACCTTCTTAGCTAACATATAATCAAAATGATCTCACGAGATAACCTAGCGACATCTTGTACAGGCGTAAAAGAATACCATCACAGAAGAAGGGTAAAATAACCCGTCATTATTCGTTAAAATCTTAATATAAAAATCTGATGTATATGTTACCGTGAAAGACCGAATTTGGAGAATGTCGACTTTCACCGGAGAATGTCAACATTCACCAAATACGTCGATGAAAGATCGAATATTGCATTACATTCTTGTACATTCGGACCCTCACCGGTGTATGTCGACAATCACAGATATGCTCTGGTGTAGGTCGAAAAGAGAGGAGTATATGTATACGATGCTATTCCAAAAGGAAGTGTTCCACAAATAAATGCAGTTGTAAAAGCAAGAACCTCTTGTGCAATTCAAATTGTCATAATAGTTAAGTTGTTGCAAAAAATAAGATTTGAATCACATAACTTGGTAAGTTTTTAACTTCTACTATTTTCGTTTCTCATTTTGAATGTACTGTTTGTTTCAAGTTCTTATGTTCTTAAATTCTTATTCTGAGTCTCAAGTGCGTTTTTTCGCGACTGAATTACGGAGAAGAAAATGTAATATTCTTATATGTTCAACATTCACCATTAATACATGGTGAATGTCGACATTGACCGGTGTAAGTCAGAAATAAGAGTATTTGGAAAATATTTCGGACATACACCAAGCGACTATGTGAATGTTGACATTCACCGGTGAAAGTCGACATTCTCCAGATTTCGGTGTTTCACCGTAACATATACACCACATGACTTCCTCGCAAGGAATATTAAATTATACGCATTTTTTGCTGAATTTCATTTTAATTTATTACCTCGAATTTCATCAGAGATAGATTTCTCATTCAATAATTCAGTTCTCACTCCGCGGCAAAGCAAAAATACATAAAACATCAAAGTACCTTTATTAAAAATTGAAAAATATAAAACACTAAATACAGTTAGAAAAACAGTGTTTACAAGTAAAATTACAGTTTCTACGCAAAAACAAGCAATGCGGCCAACGGACAAGAAAGCAGATTTCTCGGTGCACAAACCTGAACGTTTACTTTTGGTCCCACTCGGCAAAAAGACACTGAAGCTGCAGAAACTGAGTTATTCACCATTTTGCTAAGTTTCAAATATGGCAGCTATGGTAAATAAAAATTAGGCTTAGCCGCACTTAAACAACTTTTAAATTGTTGATAATTCTATACCTATTGCGTTCAGATTAACTAAAGGTGTAAAAACCTTAACCGGAAGATAAGGACAATATAATTCAATTATGTTTAAAGCAAAACATGCACAACTTACCAACATATAACAATAATAATAATAAAACTTAACTCATGGAGCCAAGTAACAGAGCGGGTATATTTATATAATTTTGGTGCGGTCTATTGTAGCCAAAAAACGTAGGTGCGCAACTACATGTTATAGCACTCCTATATACAAAATTTCAACGTTCTGAGGCTAATGGATTTTGAGTTATGCGAGATACATATGTACGTACGTACAGATGTCACTAAGAAATCTCTTCTGAATCCATTTTAAATCCATTTCGGAACCTTTTTCGGGGGGAAAAAAAGAGTCCTTTATTCTATCCTTACGTACAGATGTTACGCAAAAACATTGTTAAATTAGATTCAATTCAAAATTGATATTTTCGGTGAAATAAGATAAACAAAAATTTTCGCAGATTACAATACTTCTTTTACTTCGTACAAAGAAGGAAAATAATCGGGGAAGGAAGGATCACCGTGTTCAAATTAACACCAACGACTTGCGGTGAAACTTAAAAATAGTTCACAATAAATTCAAAGATAAAGAGTAGTGCCGGACTAACAATTTAAATTAAGGATAACGAGGGTGAATCATCAACCTACTTGGCTATGCACGTATTAAATGGCCAAAAGGTGTATCAGAAAATCCGTGTAACAGCAAGGACAACGAGTAACTAGTGTGCTGGCTAGCTAATCACGCTTTGAATAAACTACTAGTGTCTTTTTTTATATTCTCTTCACTTTAGTTCAAATTTGCATCTTGGCAAGGAAATGCGAGGGGAAATTGAGAGGTTCAGGAAAGGTAACAAAACTTAAAATATGTGTAATTTGTTATGCAAACTAAGGAATGGAAATAATATAAATAAGGAATATGAAAACTCTAGAACACTATGAATTCCGCGTTAAAATTATTGACACCAGGTAATATGATAACTTGAAGCGTGACTGTCATCATTAAATCTAATTTTTAAAACGGTAAGAATATAGGTATCTTCTCTCGTTTTTAATCAATTTATTCTATGACTACCTTCTTCTTTTCCCTGTTTTTAATGTAGTAAAATTAAGAAGCTAATATGGGTGGCAAAGTTCTGAAGGGTTAATAGCTAAGCGTACAGTGACAGCTTAAACATTTTAATCCTTTTTCTGCGAACAAAAAGAAATCCATTATTTAAAATACTTTAATATCATTTATAAGTATTGAAGGTATTTTAGTGTTAAACATCTAAGTCGTACATGAAATAATTTTTCTTCAATTGTATAGCAGTTTTCAACGGGAAACGGAAAACAAAATTACCAACACTTATGTTTATATTTATTTACGAAGATGCTGACGTATGAAACACAACATCATATTGCGTGCGTACGGGTTCGTTATAGATTGAATGCACAAGCCCGATAATAAGTTAATAAAATTTATTCTGATCACAAGAAATATAACAGAACGCTGGAATTTTCCTCACAGATATTCACAATATCACGCAATATAATCAGTAGTTATACTTCTAACTTCTAAAAGCATTAAAATATAACGCAATGCAAAGAGAAAGCTAATCCGACCTCACACTGAATTCGAAGCAATAAACAACAGCAGCTAACTGAACAACTGAGCTGAGATGTTCTCTTTCTGCCTTTTTATAACTTTCATGCGGCCGCGCGAGATAGTTCTAGCATTTTCTGCCTCTCGAAAAATTTCTAGGAAGCAATAAGAGGATAAAATTACGGTTTCAGCTAACACAGTAGTCAATTACATTTATTCAATTTCAATAGAAATTAAAGAGATATTCATTTATTAAATCTTAAATGCACGTGCTCTTGTATTTTTACTTTTCCGGCATAGCTTTCTTTTAATATTTGTCTCGTGCTGCATTTGCACGGGAAAGTAGTACAGTTTTAATTGTAATTTTAAAAATATATAACTAAATGCAAAATTAGGAACAATATAAAACAGCATGCTGGGCTACATCAAAAATTTTACTTCTATTACATTTTTCCCGAAAGAAATTTTCTTATATTACACGCCTACTTGGCTTTGTTACTCAGATCATCTTGTTGTTTTCAAGGAAGTGCTTCAAGCCAGCACTACAATTCTAGAGCATAAAAGTGCTGTAGCAAACACTTTACTTCAGTTAATCCTTTTCTACAGTTTTGGATTATATAATGGCGGCAAAGCCTTGAGGACTATCTGCCTAAGGGGAGGGATGACTTCGTGAAAGACTTTCTAAGGGAAACTGGGTAGTATATACGTTACACCTGGGGAAAACCACGAAAAGGCAGCCCTTTCACGGGATTTGAACCTCGGAACGAACTACCAGTGTTCAGCGATTTTACCGCTCGGTGGCAGGTCACCCTCACTTTCTACAGAGAATAAAGTATGCGGTAAGATCCAATGTGCTCTGTTTTCAGCAGATTACCTTAATTTGGAAAGAATTCTTTCCAGTTCAATATAATATGAATTTGAAAAGTATCCAGTTCTTTACTTCAATAATTTTTCTTCTTGCGAGAAAAAAAAAATTATCTTTACCTTTAGTTTTCATTAGCTGTAAACGATAAAACTCAAATTCTAACTCTCCATGTCGCTAACGTATTGTTATGAATTTTGTACATACATAGATAATTTCAGTAAAATTATATGTGAAATTGTTGTATTTTTCTGTGTAATGTAACACAAACAGATGACAGAAAAGATGCTCTGTTGAAAAAATAAGAATACAGGGTCAAGTTGATATTGAGCAAATGGTTATCTCGCTAAGTTGGCGAGATATCGCCAAGCTGGCAGCGGTTTTTACGACTAATTCTTGTCGCCAAATTTGGCGACAAATAGGCAAATAGTAGCCTGGTCCGCTCCCTATCTCACCACAGTAGGTACTGTCACTGAATAACTGTAACTGATCACTATATTAGCTGTTACCGTAATTCAACCCTCATATGCCTTCCAGTAATTTCGAGAAGCAGAAGGTACTAGAAATATTTCGGCGGTCGGGGAAAAACTATATAAGGCCGGAGACAGCATCAGTTCTCAGTAAAAAGCTTTCGATCGAGTGTGGCACGCAGGACTAATCCACAAACTTAGCAACTTTCCGCTTCCAGTCAGTTTCATCCAGCTCCTTATATTATATCTTAAACGCAGGACTTTTCAAGTCAAGTGTGGAGATGCTATTTCTCGCAAGAAAATAATTTATACTGGAGTCCCACAGGGAGCGGTTCTCGCCCCCTGTCTTTTCAACATCTATATTAACGACTTGCCAAGCCCTTTTGACTGTAAAATTTTGAAATATGCAGACGGCACGGTCGTCCTCACGGATTCCCTTAGCCCATTACTCACCATGGACAAATTGCAGTTAAAAGTTAACATCGTTAATAAATGGTGAGATGATTGGAAGATAAATTTAAACTCAAGCAAATGTTGTGTTGTTCTTTTTAGACGATACAGAAAAAGTGTAATTATCAATAATGAGATCAAAATTAAGAATGAAGTTGTTCCGCGTGAAAGCTCTTACAAATATTTAGGATATTATCAATAATAACTCCTAAATATTTGTAATTATATTTATTATACACTCATGTCCATAAATTAAGGATAATGCAAAATTAGGCAAAGGAAGAGTTAGAAGCAAAACAAATTTGACTTATTTGTAAAGTTTATTTATTAAACAAAAGGTAAAAAGCAAAAAAAAGATGCTATATGTTTGTATTATAAAAAAAATTAGCGATTTTTTCTCCCTGGAGCAAATTACAAAAAAACCCTATTTACAAAAAAACCAATATTACATGGTTGGTATGATTGTTAATACATTATATGTTTCCCAGACGATGCAATACAGTCCGTACAACGCCTAGGCATGCTGAGTATCAAATTATCGATCTGATCTTGGGGGATATTACACCACTCAAAAAGCAATGCTTTCCGAAGTTCCGGTAAACATGTAGGAGGAGGTTGACGGGCTGCAACTCGTCGGCCAAGCATGTCCCACACGTGCTCTACTGGATTCCAGTCCGGTGAGAATGCTGGCCAGTCCATGCGGTTGATATCCTCGGATTGAAGGCATTCGCTTACGATGTTTGCACGGTGAGGACGGGCGTTGTCATCCATAAACACAAATTGTGCGCCCATGGCACCCCGAAACAAACGTACATGTTGTTCCAGAATGACGTTCCAGAATTTGGCTTGTCATGGTTCCAATTTGAACATGCAGGTCAGTTCTGGAACCCAGAATAATTCCACCCCAAACGAGCACTCCTGCACCACCGTAACGGTGTCGTTCAATGATGTTTTCTTGGTGGTAACGGGTACCTGGAGCTCTCCATATGAAAGTCCGGCGAGAATCAGACTGCAAGCTAAACCTGAACTCGTCGGAAAGCATCACACAAGCCCACTGTTGCGGTGTCCACAATGCATGCTCTCTACTCCAGGCTAACCGCAGGCGACAGTGAGTTGCAGTAAGTGGAACGCATCTGACAGGTCTACGAACATATAGACCAATCTGCCCTAAGTGTCTGTACACGGCGTGCCTTGAAATTGTCGTACCAGTGGCTGAAGAGAGCTGACGAGACAGGTCTGAGGCTGTGCTCCGCCTGTTTCTTTTGGCAGTAGCTGCCAAATATCGGTCCTCATTCGGCGTTGTAACTCTGGGGTGACCTGTGCTGTAACGTCTACTCTCACATTACCATCATCTTGGAATCGTTGCCAAAGCCTGGAGATGATACTCTGGGCAATTCCAAGTTTGTCTGATACTTCCAGTTGGGTACGCCCACATTCCAGACGGCCGATAATTCTACCACGTAAAAAATCATCCATTTGCGTTCCTTTGTGTCATAACTATTCGGTTATTGCACTGAAATGCTTATAAAGCGCCTGCGAACAAATTTTACTTCTTTGCCTGTATTCCTTATATATCACTCTCTTACACTCTCGTCATTGTGACGTACCATCAGTGTCATCTAGTTACTACCTGAAATTTGCATATGATTCTTGAAGATGTGTGTTGTGATCTTACAGGTGATATATTTATTTTAGAGTTCGATTTCCGTGTGACTCCGAATTATCCTTAATTTATGGACATGAGTGTATTTGATTGCATTCTACGCCTCTGGGTGATAGATGTACCAATAGTACATCTTCTCTTTGATACAAATGTGAAAGGCCTAAGGCATACTTGGTCTATTGGTGATAACTCACAGTAGTTGGTACCAAATGCGGGTTATTTAATTTAATTACCGCAAAGCCTCGAGGGCTATCTGCCCAAGGGGAAGGGATGCCTTCGTGGAGGTCTTTCTAAGGAAAGCTGACTCGTATACATATTACATATGGGGAAAACCACGAAAAGACCCATGCAGCCAGCCCATTCGCGGGATTCGAACCTCAGACCGAACTACCAGTGTTCAGCGACTTTACCGCTCGGCCGCTGGTGGGCTGGTACCAAATGCGAGTGAAGGTAAAGGTAAGTTCTCAGTTGTTAATTCAGAGTGACATTGGAGTGTTGAAAGCTTCGTCATTTAGGTGTGCTTTGCTGGCACTGTGTCGTGTTTAACGTTCTTAGTAATTTGAAGCGTAACTATTGACTGTACTCCTGTGAACACCTGTATGAGTATTTCTGTGAAAGGTTCCAAAACTGTGAATTGTCATTTTTTGATAAAATAAATTTTATTGAGAGCAATTGGAATTTATAAGATGTTCTGATATATAAAACTGTGCATTTGTTTAAACAATACGCATTAATCATTTAAAGCACTAATATTTGTTTATTTTCAGAAACGGACTTTGCAAACCAAAAGTTGGTCGACTGGCTGCGCCCAATGTTGTACACCCAGAAAGCACTAGGCGGAAAATCTCGGGCACCGCAAGATTAGAAGTTTATTTCTTGCCTGTTATCACGTGCTTGTTCTCTGTCACGTTAAATGTTAATCTTATTCCACGGATATGCACAAGTTCCTTCTGTTGAAATACCAGAAAGTCTTTTAGCAAATATTTATTATATTTAGAATCTTTTTTAAAATTAGCTATTGTTCAGAGATAAGTTTTGGGATTAATTTGTATGTGCCTCATTCACGATATTTACGAATTAATTATACCAATTTTGAAACTTTTTTTCAATAAATTGAATCTGATTGCTCGAAAACAATTTTACGCATTTCTATGCAAAATTAAACACAAATCTCTCTATCTGTACCACTAGAAAACTGTACACTGAAGGAATCAGAATTCATTTTCTCGTTGATATTATATTCCCATTATATTTATTTATTCCATTATTTATTCCCATTTATTTTTATTCTCGTTGATATTATATTCGCATTACTTATTCTCATTTATATTGCCAACGAGAATTCATTTTCTCCTTGATATTATATTCCCATTTTAATCTGGTAAGTTTTTGTTTAAACTGCAAAGAGCTCACGGAGATTAAATCGTTTGTTCGATCTTAGCCCGGGAGCGTAATGGCAAACCGCACATTGAGTTGATCAGTGTTAAACGAATTTCGCTTACTGCGCATGCCCAGAATAGAATTTGTTGCAATTTTAAAAGAAGGCAAATATGGTATATGGTTGATATTGTATTATGTGTATTATGTGTGCGCAAACAGTTCGGGTTTTTAAAACTTGTTAGGTTGTAAATTGCTTCATTATTTATAATGTAACTATCGATTGTAAACTACGCAAATTTTCGTGTAAGAAGGATTACAAAACAGGAAACATTACAAGGTGAATCAGCTGAATACTTATTTATTATACTTCTAAGGAATAAAAGCGATTGAGTATTTACCATACGTCCATTCGTATATACTTTAACAAATTAAGGAATAAATTCAGTTTAAATTACTGTCAAGTAACTGATATAAAATGTAATTTATGAACAAAATAAATCAAAATGAAATGAAACAGGAACACATGCAATAACCACACACAAAAATTTCTGTATATTGTAGTTGTTAACAGTAAAACCAACATGACTAACAGGCTTGTGTAGTGTTGTTTCTGCTTAGTTGCTAGTATATCCTCTCACGCCAACGGTACACCATTGAGCATGCGCAGTAAGCAAAATTCGTTAACATTGATTAACTCAATGTGCGGTTTGCCATTACGCTGCCCGGATGAGGCACTGAATGGACGGAAGGATGCTATTTGCGGAATATAGTTGGTTTATCGAGATTACGTAAAAGCACACTAGGGCTATCTGCGTAAGGGAAGGGATGCCTTCGTGGAGGCCTTTCTAAGGGGACTGGCTCGTATACACTTTGCACATGGAGAAAACCACGAAAACACTCATGCAGCCAGTCCGTTCGTCCAGTTCCGCGTAGCCGAAACATAATGTGATTGGCACCTAAAGTGTACAGTAGCCAGTTTCCCTTACGTCGTTAAAGTCCTCCGCGAAGGCATCTCTTCCTTTAGAGAGATGGCCCACGAGTTGTTTTCCATAATCAAATAAATCAGATCAAACCAAACTGCAACCTACCAGCGTTTTTAGGACATACGTCATTTGGTGAGATCGGCATTCTCTCTTACGAAAGTGTAGAAGCGTGTGTTTCTTACGAAAGTGGAAGGTGGAGTACGATTCATATTATTTCAACATAATGATTCTACAGCTGACTAAAATGTAAAAGAAAAATAAATCCAATGAAATCATTAGTGGTATCTTAATGCTCTTTTCTATCGAAAAATTTAGAATATCCATAGGATACTGAGAATAACTACAGTCATATTACCATAGCAATACTCCACAAGGAATGAAATAATTAACGGAAGCAATGAATATGAGAATTTTTGAGAAAAGCTTCTGACTTAAAATCACATCCGGGTAGTAAATCTAGGACTTAATTTCATCACATTGCATAGCTGAATATATAAAGTATTTTTTATGCAATTAGAAGTTAAACATATAACTTCGTGAAACACCAATAACATCTGAATCCTGATCATGAGGCAAGTATATGCATATTTTATTATTAAGTATTTTAAGACGAAAAATAGCTCCTTAAGTTGGCTAAGAGATACAATCTAACACGTTTATTTACTATTTACATTAATAAGAAGGAAACGAAAGACCAGTTTCAGAATAATCAGTTATTCTACAGCAGTTAAAATTATTTATAAATGATTTTTCAGTTTTCGATCAAGAGCTTTTTTAAACATTTTATTGAACTTCATTGTTATTAAAAGTTCAATAGAAACTAGTCTTGCTACATATATTTAAGTGATCTTTTAAAAATGATTCAAACTTATTCAAAAGTAATATTTTTAGCAATTTGTTTCTGGTTTCAAAAGTTTCTTTTTTCGGGTAGATCAGCACTAGGAAAAATGATTCGAAAATATTTGACTGTTATTGCCATTTGTATTTTCACATTCCTCGTTGCTTCAAATTTTCATTTCGACAACAGCCGATTAAAAAAATGTTTTACTGTAAGGATTAAAAAGCATTATACAGGCATATATTACAAATAGAATAATTTTCTATATTTTTTTAATGTGTTTCATGGACGGTTTTTACTAATAAACAATAATAATCGTCTTGTTAACAGCCAGAAGTTTTACTTATTAATTTTTACTTTGAAGTTTTTTACTTTAATACTTCTTAAAGAAGTGTTACATCTTGCGAGATCAAAATCCTGCATTTCCGTATAACCTCATTTATTCCGCAGAAACAGTTTGAAAACATTATTTAAAAAAATCTGATGTGTACACCACATGACTTCCTTGTACGGAATATTAAACTATACGCATTTTTTCTTGCATTTCATTTAAACGTATTGGATTAAATTAAATCTACTTCGCTGACAGCGCATAAAACCACAATAGAATAAATGCATTCTTTAAAATTCACTCTACTTGTTTACCATAGCGACACTCTGGCGCTAGACTCACTTAACAGTATTATATTTCTTTCATATTATAACTCAGAATGCACAAAATTTATATCATTTAAAGAATTATCCAATCGTTGCCACATGTTCTATTCAAATACTATAGTAAAGCTAGAACGATGTATAAAAGAAATGAAGGAAACAAAACAATTTTTTTTTTTTTTTTTTTTTTTTTTTTTCCCCATAGACGATTGAGTATTTCGCATTCAATTAATTCCGTTCTCTTCAATTCAGTTAAATCTTAAACACTTATTTCCTCGAAAAATTCCAGAAAGGATTAAGCATGATTTAATTCACAATAATAAATGAAGGCGTTATCTTTGTTGTTGCGAAGCTAAGTTTCTCTAGATTGGCAATAAATCCACTATTCTGCTGTTTCAAATGTAAACAAGCAATGGCCGCCATAAAAAAAATATTAGGCTTAACGGCACTTAAACAACTTTAAAATTGTTGATAATTCTAAAAATATTGCATACAGATTTACTAAAGGCATAAAAAGAAAATCTAAAAACTTTCGGATTTTATATTACACCCAAAAAGTCTTTTTTTTTTTTAACGTTTTGTGTGCTACCCTTGTTTATTAAACATCATGTTCTTAGCGCTTAAACCTCATGAAATTCAATTCAACAACAATATCAGAAAATATTTTAAAACAGCATATCTTTAGAATTTCGGATACACAGTCTCGCGTGCTGGAAATGAATTTTTTTTTTCGTACATTGTTGCCACTGGTCGCTTTGAAATTGTTGAGTTTGTTAATCAAAACTTTGTTAATGTTTTACAGAATTTGAAACAGGTAATAAAACATATTCGAAATTCAGGCTTCCAAGCACCCATGTTCGGTTAGAGAAGTCAGTTATTCAAAATTTGATGGCTATAGGTACCGTTGTTCTTTCACAATGCGAGAAATATTCATGCAGATTCTTCATTATTTAGTTTCTTTAAATATTGACATGGCGATTATTCACACGGTGATAATATGTGGTGGCAATAGTATGAAAAATGAATCAATGCAGAAAGTGAACCGACGCAAAATGCCACTTGAAGACTAATAGCCCTTTAGGTCTAACGCCACATTGGGCTAATAAAACGCAATAGCTAAGGATAAAGTATTTTATAATCTTTTATGTAAACATTTGGCAAACATTTATGCTCTTCAAATAACTCCTTTTGAATGATTTCCTACCCTTAAAATGACTAGTTTCTATTGGAAAAATAAAGGTTCTTCTGAGATAATAGCAAATACTTTTTAAGATTAATTTAGAAGTCAAACAACAAAAATCAGAATAATATTTTTAAAATTTTCACAGAACTAGTTTCGATGGTTTTACCAAACCATCATCATTAGCTGCAAAAGTGTTTTATTTATTTATTTATTTATTTATTATTCAAAAACGCAATTTTCAAAATTTTCATTTGCGCTTTTGCAGCTGAGGATGATGGTTCGGTAAAACTATAGAAACTAATCCTGTGAAAAATTATTTGTGTTAAATATTACACTGATTTTTGTTGTTTGACTTCTAAATTAATATTTTGTTTCGCGTGTTATTGCATCTTAATTGCTTTTAAGACGTAAATTACAAAAAATGCGAAGACAGTTTTGTCTCTAATGTTCTCCTGTTTCTTTAATCTTAGTTTCGTAAACCATTACCAAAATATTGTTGCGTAAAGTCCCGCTGCGACAAGATAGCTTCCCCGCAAAGCGGGTTTATGGCTGCAACGAAAATCAGTTTCCAAATTTGGCGCGAAATCGCCCATTTGGGGACAAAATTGGCGATATGCCATAGACTGAGCGAGAACATTCTAGAACGAATTCTTACCGATTTTCCCAAGAATGTTTCCTAAGGCAGGTCAAAAGCTATACATATTCTGTCTGTAAGCGGAGTAGGAGAGTATCTTAAGAGTATCAGTAGTGTCTCGAGTTTAGAGATTAGCTCAAGAGCGATCGACCGAGTCGGGAGTTGTACTCTAGTGATTTGCCGTGAAGCTGTCTTTACTGTTATAGCCTGAAGGCTGTGTTGCTGATAGTTTCGGCGTGTTTATCGTAGTTTTTCGACGGCTGTAAACGTGTCTTTAGAACTCTCCTATAGAATACTGACGAAAAACGTTGTGTTTTAATTCTTCATCAAGTGTTGTCTTCAACAACTGCAAATTCACGAACCCGTAGAACGCAACAATATTCTTTCACACCGAATTATTAAATCTTGCTGGTCAAGCCCCTCTAATTTAAATAAGAACGATTTAATATATATATCTGAATT